TTATGAAGGGTGGTGGGTGGTGGTGACTGCTGCCTATCGAAGATTGTGATTCAACATGTAAGAAGAGAAGATAGTAAAGACCACAAATTAATAAATGAAACGTAATGGAATGCCTTGTTGAATGAACTTGATAACTTCCTGCAAGGAAATAAAAGTGTAGATTTAAATGTGAACAAATAGGCTAAAGAGTATGTCAGAAAGTATCATTTAAATTGTTACAGGTACATATGAAAGTAAAAATTCAGAAGTTGGAGAGGTTATACTTAAGTGACTGTTGATGATAGAAGAATTAGAGGTGAGTTTTAGGAAAAATTAGGAAACCTGAATGTACGGAGGAAAAAAATCTGTTATATGGCACGAATGGATATTTAGAAACAAAATGTGAGAGTACAATAAAAGGTACTTGGTCATTCAGAGACCAAGAATGAGAGAGGTGTGACTGATAAGTAATGACTTACATCTGTTTGTTTCAAATATATGGCTTAAGCATGTGTCTGTATATACACATGACAGAGGAATGAATATGCATATGATAGCATAATTAATTGTTTATGATAAAAGACCTTTAAAATTGTTGAAGGCTACAAATATTGTGTGGCTTTGAATGTGGGTTAATGGTAGCACTAAGAATGAATCTTGGAAAATAGCATATGACAAAAAATGAAAGGAGGAAAAGAAAGAAGCGTGAAAGTGAACATTTTCAGGAAGATAAATTATTAGTCCTTTGGGAAAAACCACTCGAAGATTAATCTCTAAACAAAGTGGATGTAAGGAAAAGGACTGTGAAATCTTGGAGCAAAATGAAAAGAATGTGACTCAAGTGGGTCAAAATCAGATGGAGAAGATATTTTGTACATGTACTCCGGTATCAAGTCATGAAGAACTTTAGAAACAAAAGCAGCACTTGGAAGCTCATAGAGGGCAAGTGCAGGGTCTGAAGCTGGAGGGTAATGGGCCATGGCATGCTGGACCAATTGAAGATTTTTAGTTGTCTTTAAGGGCGCAACCCATGTTGTATACATGATAACAGTTCAGACAGAGTAAGAATTAGGGGTGCCAGGCTCTTTTGTTCCAGGTTGGTCCACAACTAGCACACGAGGCAGAGTTGGGCAAAGATCTCCCTGGCCATGACTTTCACCTGTCCACTGGTGTAGTAATGAATTCCAGAGACCTCCAAATTACAGCTTTGCTCTTTCAGGAACAGTGCTACCCAGAGACACTTCTTGAGATATTTAAGAATCCAAATGAACAAAGAGCAGCTTTGGTTTGTTTGGCTTTAACTTCAACCTGTTTTGTCCCATCCAGATATTATATAAGCTATATAGAAAGAAAGATAGTTGCAACTAATGTAATCAAAAGAGAGCAAGAAAGAATGACGAATTAAATAGGCAGAAAAAAACGCAGAACAATTTAGCTGGAAGCTTAAAAGTTGTTATGGAAGTTAATGAAGAACAAGTAAGTATATTTGTGCAGAATGCCAGATGAACTATGAAATTTTAGGATATACAAATGCTGATAGAAAGGTTATGGTAATTTTAAATCTGTTTCAAGGGATAAGTGAATGTCATAAAAGCAAAAATGTTAGTTCACAAATGCACATTTTCCTGTTATGTTTTTTATTTATTAAATTTATATGACTGCCCTACTCACCTACTCACAACCGTTTTTGTTGTATTTATGTTGTACAATGACAATAAAGGTTATACTACTACTACTACTACTCACTGTAACTCAAGGCTTTACAGTGTACAGTTTACAACATTAAAATTTCACAACTTAAAGAAACCATAACCCACTCACACCCTTCCTCACCCCGGTAGCAGCAGGTACACCCTCAAGAGCTGGCTATCCCGCCAGGCCTGGGGGTAAAGATTNATTGGCAGTAGGCGGTCTCTCAAGTACCCAGATCCACTACCATGAAGGGCTTTATGGGTGACAAGTAGCACCTTGAAGCGTATCCGGTTACACTAGGGCTGTAAGTAGAACCAGGGTATGTAGTTCCAGATGGCTGGGGTGGGGGGTGGGCTGAAGATTGCTGTTAGACAAGGATACACAAGAGTTAAATATGCTTAAAATACTGCAACTGAATCTTGTCTGCTATAAGTATAACCAAGGCTGCCATCAGAGATTGGTGTCTGCCTGTTTGTCTGTCTGTCTGTATTAAACCTATATATCGTCCATTTCTCCAAAGGCGACTAGCCAGCTTACAATCAAGATGTTGGGATTGGAGCCCATTCCTGCTTGTTTGTACCAAATTTGCTGTTGTCTTTACAGCTCTCACCTTGTTGCAGCTTCCTGTTGCTCTGGTTCACGGATGCTTTACTGGTAGTCCTCGACTTACAACAATTCATTTAATGACCATTTGAAGTTACAACAGCACTGGATAAAGTGAGTTATGACCATTTTTCACACAACTGTTGCAGCATCCCCCATGGTCATGTGATTAAATTTCAGACACTTGGCAACCGACTCATATTTATGACAGTAGCAGTCATGGGATCACCTTTTGCAACCTTCTGACAAAGTCAAAGGGGAAGCCATATTCACTTAACAACTGTATTACTAATTTAATAGCCGCAGCGACTTGCTTAACAACTATGGCAAGAAAGGTTAAAAATGAGGCAAGACTCACTTAACTGTCTTAACTTAGCAACACAAATTTTGGGCTCAATTGTGGTCGTAAGCCAGGACTACCAATAGTGTGCATCCTCTCTGAAATTCGTTCCATATCATCAGTGATGTGGAATGAGAATTCCACTTCTGAATGAGAACCACACTAGTAATAAACTTCGCTCCATGTTTTTTATCTACTGCATAAGTTCACCTGAAAGGTAATATCTTGATATTGTTTGTGCTATATAGCAATCTTATAAAACTTAGAACTGTGTGCTAGTTTGGCAGTCCTTTAGAAATCCAACAGTCCATTCAGAAGACCTCTGCTCTTTGTTAACATCAGGAATGAGCATGTGAACGACAAGCTTAATGGAAGTAAGGGGAAAATATGGGCATTATTGAGAACCTAGTGCTGTGATGGCGAACCAATGGTACCAGGGGCGGGTTCTGGCAGGCACTACTGCCGGTTTGCTCATGGGCGTGCTGTGAGCACATGTGCAATGCAATAAAAATTGTTCAGCGCATGTGCAGAAGTGAAAAGCAAGATGGTGGTGCCTATGGCGCCGCCCGGAGAACCAGTTCAGAGTGTGGCAGGCCTGGGTCGTTGCCGGGTCCAGCGAGCCAGGCCGCCAAACCACTACTTGTTTGGCTGAACTGGTCCGAACCATAGGAACCCACCACTGGATGGCACGCATGCCAGAGGTGGCACACAGAGGCCTCTCTATGGGCATGTGTGCCATCTCCAGCTGCTCTTCTGGTTTCCAGCACGCACATTACTAGCTGGTCTTTGCGGGCTCTAGAGTGCTGAAAAATGGCCTGAAAACGCCCCCCAAAAACAGCAAAACGCCCCAAACAGCCTGAAAATGGGCATGCATGCACCTGCCAGCTGGTTTTCAGGTTTCCAGTCTCAGGTGCACATGAAGACTAGCTGGCCAGTGTGCATGCACGTGCTGGAAATCCGAAGACTACCTGGCCGGTGTGCGCATGTGCATCGGCCAGCTGGTCTTCGGGTTTCTGGCGCTCGGGCACGTGTACATACACACATGTTCTGGTTTGGGTACTCGGTGCCAAAAAGGTTTGCCATCACTGACCTAGTGGAATTCGACATAGCTCCTGTAATGGAATCGAGCAATTTTTACCCACAACATCCATGAACTTAATATTTACTCTCTGTATTCCAGCCATAACTTTATCATTTGTAGAAATAATTGTGTTGACTGCCTGTATTCCATAACCACGTTTCACACGTCTTCCTCCACCACCCTTAGAATTGCAAATATAATTTAGAACCTCTTCAATTAAATGCACAAGTAAAAATATATTCCATATTCCCTTTTCAACACGAGTATGACGCTGCTGGGGGATATTACCTGGAGTCTTGCCTCAAAATGCTTGTACTGCTCATTTCAGCCTTCCTTCTCCATCTGGCCCAAGTCTGTCAGTCTTGGCTCTTTGAATGATGTGCTGAGCAATGGTTTGCTTAGTCATTGCTGAGTTTACAAAACATGCTAATATGTAAAGTATTATTTGTATAACTCAGTAGCCAAGTTCATGTATCCCATAGCATGCCAGAATCAAATAAATCAGTTTATGGCTTAATGAGTTGTGTGAATTCAGGCAGTTTTAGCCATACAGCGATGACAACATATTAATGTGAGTAATAAAATAAAAAGTATTTTGTTGCTGTAGCTCTTTATCGGTTTTCCATGTCTTGTTTGGACAAATACAACTGTAGAGTTATGTCGTTCATTAACCACCCAGAAAAGTTTGCACTTGTGAGTACTGCCTGGTTTTGTGGGGTCAAGGCCTTTGTCACACTGAAAAAGCTTAACCCTCCTTGGTTACTACTGCCACATATTTGGAGTGTCTGGAATTCACTGCCTGGAATATACAGGTAGTCCTCTGGTTACGTTTTTTTGTTCAGTGGCCTTTCAAAGTTCTGGCACTGAATAAGGGGGACACTACCAGTCATCAAAGTTCCAGATATTTCAGTGCCTCCATGGTCAGGAGACCATGATCCAGGCTGTTGGTGCTGGGGTTATGCTTACAATAGTTCAGTAAGCTGTGGTCACATGAGGGTGATTTCTGATGTTCTCTGCCAGGTTTTTACATGCAAAATTAGTGGGAAGCTGGTAATAAATCAGAAGTTACTTCCACTTGCACTACATTTTTGCCTGCTCTGTAGTGCCTGCTTGTGATCCCTTCTGCCCCTGCAGCACCTGTATACCTGCCTGCAGTAGAGTGTCTGTCTATGCCCATTCTACTATGACACCTGGACACTCAACAATCTGCTTGCCTAGGACTCCTACCTCTCATACAACTGCCTGCACAGTCCTGAAACTACAGCAGCAACCAGGCTAGGCAATGTGGTCATATGACATTGTGCTTCATGACTCTCAGCAACAGAGATTCCAGTCCCGATTGCTGTCTTAATTTGAAGATTTACCTGCATTTCTATCTTATCCTTTAGAGTGTTTTTTTCAGTGTCGTTTGTGACTTGGAAGCTTCCAGGTGGAACTCCTGTAGTGACACAAAAGACAGCTTTATGTGAAAGAAGTGAGTCGTTCATATGTTTTCTCTCTGTATCTTCTTATTGAGAATTTGAATTTGAACAAACTTATGTAGTTGCTTTTTAAAAGTTTTTTCATACATAGTTTTCAATCTGTTTGTATTTTTACTGTAAGCTGGCCAGAGCCATTTCAGAGCAAGTAGAATATAAATTTGTGAAGTAAAGGAAATGACATTTCCCCCCTCCCCCTTTTCTGAAACGAATGTTACATTTCAGTAATTGGACCATGGTGCAGCTGGTGGGATCCTGTACTGGCCCTACCATTTCTACATAGCAGAAATGATCTGAGAAGCAGTTTGATCTAGTGATGAAGATGCTGGAGTAAGAAAATTGGGTTTTTGCTTTAGGCCAGGAAACCAGGTTTGGGTGGCTTTGGGCTGGTCATTTTCTCATAGCCCTAAGAAGAAGGCAGTAGTAAACCAGTTCTGAAAGCCTTGTCTAGAAAAGCATATAGGGTTGTTCAGGTTGTCACTAGGAATAAAGTCTGACTCAAAGGCAAAAAAAGAAGTCTGCTAATTATTAGTTTCTCAACTCTGTTTAGTTTTATGGAGAAAGTATTCAAATGGCTGCTTTGTGGTATGGAAACCCCTGGTAAACCTTCCTCACTAATTATTCCAGTTGATTTTGCATGATTCATTATAAAATTTTCAGACATTTACCTTTGTCCTTATGGGTTTCTCTGAGCCTTTTTTAATTCAAGGATTTTGCCCAGTGAAGTCAAAATCCTGTCTTGGTGGCATTGTTTCTATAGAAATCATGATGACATATATTCAGTATTGTTCCTTGGTTAAAATTTGAAGCGGTACAGGAGAGGGGGAAAGGTTTTGAGCATTTACCATTATAATTTTAACTAAATTTTAAAGGGATTAAATGCTATTTCCAATGTCCTAGAAACTCTTTGGTGAGTTTTGATGGTTCTTTTTTTAAATGATTCAGTTAAGTTCGCTTTAGGAAAAAAAAGGAAGAATTTTTTAAAAACCACTCATTTACATAGAAGTGCTGAATGAAAGAATGCTGTTGCACTAAAGTTTTTTTTTAAACCCTCTTCACCTGTGATACTGAATGGTTTGGCTTTCACAAAAAGTCATCAAAGAAGAAATATTGCCCACAGGCATACAGTATTTAGATTACAAAGAAGTGGCATATATCTTTCCTCACCCCTTTTAAATCCAGAAACATATCTGTGGGAGAAGTGACCTATTGGGAAGCTGCTGCTTTTTCTGATAAACACTATTCCCTTGTCTCATTCTCCACTTCCTCTTTCTTATCTTGTTTTCATCTTTCGCACTTCATTTCTTTCTATAGGCCCTGAACTGTCATTTCGTTCTCATTTTTAAAAAAGATTTCTACTATTCTGTAAATATAAATGTTGAATATTTATTTACTTCCTCAATTTATGTAGCTGTTCATTGTACATAGTTTTAAGTGACTCTAGATGACTTAGATAGTGGCTCAGTGGCTAAGACACTGAGCTTGTCGATCAGAAAGGTTGGCAGTTCGGTGGTTCGAATCCCTAGTGCCGCGTAACGGATTGAGCTCCCGTTACTTGTTCCAGCTTTTGCCAACCTAGCAGTTTGAAAGCATATAAAAATGCAAGTAGAAAAATAGGAACCATCTTTGGTGGGAAGGTAACAGCGTTCCGTGCATCTTCGGGACACTTTTAAAATAAGCAAACAAAGGTGGATGGTTTGTTTATACTAATTTTTTGGTGCAAGTAGTTTCATGAGTTAGTTTTCTGATAGCTGATGGGTTTACTGAGAAATACATAAAATAATATTAAAATGTTGATCCTGTTAGCAATCCTATAATATTCAAGTCTCTTCCTCTACAAGGGAGCTAAATGTTTATCTGTTTCACATTACTTTTGTAATCCACATTTACGACAGCACCTTTTTTAGACTTGCTCACTTCTATTCAGTGATTATGAGTTAGAGGAACAATAATAGAGTTATTCTAAGCTTTTGCAGTTCTTTGAAAATATATCTTTAACTCTGCACTTTCAAGTTTTGAATTGTAGAAATGTTGTGTTGATTATTTCCTAACTGTGGTTTGCAGCTTTCGAGTGTATGCAGGCTTTTCCTTTTCCTTCTTTATTGTGTGTATATGTGTATGTGTATGTGTATGT